TGATTCATTGTTTGCGTATAACACCCAGTGCTCCATTCAATATGTGCCCTCTTTAATACCCATCACCAGGCTAAGCCATCCCCCACCCCCCTCCCCTCTAGAACCCTCAGTTTGTTTCTCAGAGTCCACAGTCTCTCATGGTTCGTCTCCCCCTCCAATTTCCCCCTCTTCATTTTTCCCTTCCTACTATCTTCTTTTTTTTAACATATAATGTATTATTTGTTTCAGAAATACAGGTCTGTAATTCAATAGTCTTACACAATTCACAGTGCTCACCATAGCACATACCCTCCCCAATGTCTATCACCCAGCCATCCATCCCTCCGACCCCCGACCGCTCCAGCAACCCTCAGTTTGTTTCCTGAGATTAAAAATTCCTCATATCAGTGAGATGATATGATACATGTCTTTCTCTGATTGACTTATTTCAGTCAACATATGAGTGAAATACCCTCCAGTTCCATCCACATCACTGCAAATGGCAAGATTTCATTCCTTTTGATGGCTGCATAATATTCCATTGTGTGTGTGTGTGTGTGTGTGTGTGTGTGTGTGTGTGTGTGTGTGTATCACATCTTCTTTATCCATTCATCTGTCGATGGACATCTTGGCTCTTTCCATAGTTTGGCTATTGTGGACATTGCTGCTATAAACATCGAGGTGCATGTACCCCTTCAGATCACTACATTTGTATCTTTGGGGTAAATACCCAGTAGTGCAATTGCTGGGTCATATGGTAACTCTATTTTTGACTTTTTGAGGAACCTCCATACCGTTTTCCAGAGTGGCTGTACCTGCTTGCATTCCCACCAACAGTGTAGGAGGGTTCCCCTTTCTCCGCATCCCCGCCAACAACTGTCATTTCCTGACTTGTTAATTTTAGCCATTCAGAACATTCCAACCCAAAGCAACAGAATACACATTCTTCTCTAGTGCCCATGGAACATTCTCCAGAATAGATCACATCCTAGGTCACAAATCAGGTCTCAACCGGTACCAAAAGATTGGGATCATTCCCTGCGTATTTTTGGACCACAATGCTTTGAAACCAGAACTCAGTCACAGAGAAAAGTCAGAAAGAACTCAAATACATGGAGGCTAAAGAGCATCCTACTAAAGGATGAATGGGTTAACCAGAAAATTGACTTAAAAAAAAAATTCATGGAAACAAATGAAAATGAAAACACAACTATTCAAAATCTTTGGGATGCAGCAAAGGCAGTCCTAAGAGGAAAGTATATAGCAATACAAGCCTTTCTCAAGAAACAAGAAAGGTCTCAAATACACAACCTAATCCTACACCTAAAGGAGCTGGAGAAAGAACAGCCAATAAAGCCTAACCCCAGCAGGAGAAGAGAAATAATAAAGATCAGAGCAGAAATCAATGAAATAGAAACCAAAGAACAGTAGAACAGATCAACGAAACTAGGAGCTGGTTCTTTGAAAGAATTAATAAGATTGATAAACCCCTGGCCAGTCTTATCAAAAAAAAAAAAAAAAAAAAAAGAGAAAGGACCCAAATAAATAAAATCATGAATGAGAGAGGAGAGATCACAACCAACACCAAAGAAATACAAACAATTATAAGAACATATTATGAGCAACTATATGCCAGCAAATTAGATAATCTGGAAGAAATGGATGCATTCCTAGAGATGTATAAGCTACTGAAACTGAACCAGGAAGAAATAGAAAACCTGAACAGACCCATAACCACTAAGGAAATTGAAGCAGTAATCAAAAATCTTCCAATAAACAAGAGCCCAGGGCCAGATGGCTTCCCAGGAGAATTCTACCAAACATTTAAAGAAGAATTAATACCTATTCTTCTGAAACTGTTCCAAAAAATAGAAATGGAAGGAAAACTTCCAAACTCATTTTATGAGGCCACCATTACTTTGATCCCAAAACCAGACAAAGACCCCTTCAAAAAGGAGAATTACAGACCAATATTCCTGATGAACATGGATGCAAAAATTCTCACCAAAATACTAGCCAATAGGATCCAACAGTACATTAAAAGGATTATTCACCATGACCAAGTGGGGTTTATTCCTGGGCTGCAAGTTTGGTTCAACATCTGCAAATCAATCAATGTGATACAATACATTAATAAAAGAACAAGAACCGTATGACCCTCTCGCTAGATGCAGAAAAAGCATTTGACAAAGTATAGCATCCTTTCTTGATCAAAACTCTTCAGAGTATAGGGATAGAGGTACATACCTCAATATCATAAAAACCATCTATGAAAAACCTACAGCGAATATCATTCTCAATGGGGAAAAACTTAGAGCTTTCCCCCTAAGGTCAGGAACATGGCAGGGATGTCCACTATCACCACTGCTATTCAACATAGTACTAGAAGTCCTAGCCACAGCAATCAGACAACAAAAAGAAATAAAAGGCATCCAAATCGGCAAAGAAGTCAAACTCTCACTCTTTGCAGATGATATGATACTTTATGTGGAAAACCCAAAAGACTCCACCCCAAAACTGCTAGAACTCATACAGGAATTCAGTAAAGTGGCAGGATATAAAATCAATTCTGCCTCTCTTTTATAAAGATACTTGTGGTTGCATTTCAGGCCCACTAGATAATCCAGGAAATCTAACTCATAGTCCTTAATTTGATCATAATGCAAAGTTGCTTTTTGTTTGTGTGGGGTTTTTTTGCTTTTGTTTTTGTTTTTTTGTCATATAACATTCATGGGTTCCAGGGATTAGAACATGAATCTTTTTGGAGACCATTATTCAGCCAACTACTTTCCTTATTTTGATTGATTTTTCACATATTTTTGACCATTTCCATATCCTTTTCTATGGAGTGCCTACTCAAGTCTTTTGCTCACTTTTAAAAATTGGGCTTTTTCTTACAGATTTTTATAAAAGTTCTATGTTCCACATACAAGTATTTAGTCAGGTAGATTTATTGAAAGTATCTTTTTCCACTTATAGCTTATGTCTTCATTCTCTCCTTTCATGAAGAGAAGTTCTTATAGTACAATTTATCAGTGTTTGTCTTTAAAGTTAGTGGGTTTTGTTTCCTAATTAGGAATCTGATCTCAAGGTCATGGTATATTCTTACCTTGCATGTCTTGATCAACAATAATTTAGACTTAGTTTTTATGTACAGTGTCAGGTTGGGGTCATGTTTTCTTTTATTCTTCTTGGATATCCTATTGACTTGGAACAATTTATTATAATGTTCCACTACTCTGCAGTTACCTGTATCCTAAATCAATGGCCATATACATATGAGTCTGTTTCAGGACTTTCTGTTCTATTCCATTGGTCCATTAGTCTATCCTAATTAACACCACACTATTCTAATTACTATGACCGTACAATAAATCTTGATAGTCAGGCACGCTAGCCTCTCACCTTTTTCTTTGAGTCTTTATTGGTCCCTTAAATTTCCATATAAATTTTAGGCTTGTCAAGTTTCACATAGGCTAGGATTTTGATTGCACTATAAGCTATAGATCAATAAAGGGAGAATTGACATCTGTATAATATTGAGTTTTCCAATCCATGAACATAATATTCCTCCATTTATTTAGGTCTTCTTCAGTACACTTCTATAGTTTTTGAGGTTGAAGATCTGTGTATCTTCATTAGATTCAGTGATGAGATTTTTATATTTTAATACTATTAATAGTCTCTTAAATTTCATTTTCTAATTACTCATACCTGGTTTGTAAAAATAGAATCGTGCTTATATTTGTATTTGCATAACAACTTTGCATCCAGCAATCTCCAAATTCTTTGGGATATTCTATGTATATACTGTCATCTGCAAATAGAATTTTATTCCTTCCTATTTCTTCCTTTCTGATCTCTTTTTTTCTGTTTCTTGCCTTAATGTACTAGCTAGCACTTCTGTACAATGTTGAACAGAGGTAGTGATAAAGGACATTCTGTCCTGGGGAGAACTGGGGATTGAATGAGAAGGAACTCTTTGAACTTGTTCATGTATATTTAGAACTCTTTGAACTTGTTCATGTGTATTTTTAAGTATGCTACCCACTTAAAAATATAAATCATTTAACAACTTAAAGGCCATAATTTTCACATATGAAGCATGTTTAATAGTTATGTCTTAGCCTAGAAGGAAATGCTGCATAATTAGGAATTAAAGATACTGTGAAACACTTAATGAGCATAAGCATATATACCATTGTAGTTTCAATTGAATAAACCTCTCATGTTGACAAAACCTTGAGTCTTCATTTCAGTTGAGCTAAAAATGAACTAGGTGGGGCAATTAAAGTTACATTTTCTATAATCCTTTCTTGCTCCAAAGACAATTATTTAGATTTAGGAAGAGTTTGTATCCAGCAAGTGGCATCTGTTGCCTATTATCAGGAGCAGAAACCTGAGAGCTTCTGCCAGTGCATCTTGGTATCAGTTTAATTGCCAAGGAAAACACAATGCAGTCAACTACTGGGTGGAAAAATGCTTCATTCATATAGAGAAAAGACAGAGCAGTATCAGTTTCAGTAGTGAATGTCAGTTTCCCATGGCCAGCAGGTCCCTCCCAGAAGCCAATAGAGGGCAACTGGCCTGTAAACAGCCATCTTGTTGTGCTGCAAAAGGACCCCACCCTCTCTGAAGGGGACATCCCCTTTCCAAAGTGGGGTTTCCAAAGATACACACACAGGCACCATATTATACACATGGTTAAGCAGAAAAAGGTACATATGGAGTCTGAAATGGAAAGATATTCACAGACAATTCCAGCATAAGCTATAGAGACTCTCTCTTGGTAAAGAAGTGTTCTAGGCCCAAGGCCCAGTCTTGTGTGACCCAGTGGGAGATCAAAAGACTGTATCTTGAGACTGCCTTTCCCAACAGTTTGGCTCTTTCATAAAAACAAAACAAAACAAAGTTAAATTACAAGAGTCGTAATATTAAATGAGTTAGAAAATATACACATAAATTATCCTGAGATTTTTTATCCATAAGGAAGCTGCATAGTGAAGCATAAGGATACAAGATTTAGAATCTATGTTTTATTTATTATCTATGAACAATTGAGCAATTTTTAAGTTCTCTGAACTTTAGTTTCCTCATATGTAGTAAAATGGAGCTAATACTACCAGCTTCCCCAAATTGTACCATTGAGATAACATATGTAAAATCCCTAGCACTTCCCTTGCAGAGGTATTAAAAACTCACTTGCAGGGTCAAACTTACAGGAAAGTCTAGGTAGTACAAATACTGCTTTGCATTTCTTTATAAGAAGAAAACTAGCAAATAATGCAGTTGCTAGGAAATTTTATTTAATACTTTACATATCTGAGTAACTGATTAAAAAGCAAATATTTATCAGTTTTAAAGAGTTGCACAAAAAGAAAATAATAGGGAAACTAATTGCTTTTTTGCCAAATTCATTTGGATGTGGGGTCAATTTCATTAAACTTAAAAAAATTCTAAGTCTTCAGACCCTGGAGCTTTAAAAGTAGCAGTTGGAATTAATACTGGTTTGGGATCCATGGTTCACAGAAATCGTTACATTTCCTTTGTTTCTTGATGCTGCAGATTTAACAACATATTGGTAGAAACATGTAATCTCTCACATGGATTAAACATCAAGAGACCAATTTGTGCATATAAGCTAAAAATTGAAAATACATTCAGATATGATGGAACTGTGTAGCAAATACAAAGTTGTTAACAACTTTCCAGAAGGAATAAAAAAAGTATTAATAAAGAGTGGTCTTTTTCATCATTCTCAAAAATTCTTCCTCATTTATTTCTCCATCCCTGTCACGATCAGCTTCATCAAGCATTTCCTGTAAAACAAAATATAAATATGATATGTGAAATCATTAAAAATGAATGATATAAATGAATATTCAAATACACAAATTTTATTTTGAATGTATTTGACCAACTAAATTAAGATTTATATACATGTAAATTATAATTATAAAAATAAAAAATTACCTGAAGCTCATCATCTGTTAAATTTTCCCCCAGTTCTTTAGCAACCCTCTTGATATTGTTTAGTGTTATGCTTCCAGTATCATCATCATCAAATAATTTGAAAGCCTTCAATATTTCTTCTTTTTCATCTTTTTCACTCTTTAAAAACAGAAGCAATTAAATGTCATTAATCTTTCATTTATTCTATCAAATTGGACTTATGGGCTGTTTGAGGTCTAGAGTAGCAATGTACCAGATAGCTGAGTTCTGACTTTACTGCTATAACTTTTTTTTATTATTATGTTATGTTAATCACCATACATTACATCATTAGTTTTTGATGTAGTGTTCCACGATTCATTGTTTGCGTATAACACCCAGTGCTCCATGCAGAATGTGCCCTCTTTTAATACCCATCACCAGGCCAACCCATCCCCTACCCTCCTCCCCTCTAGAAACCTCACTGCTATAACTTTTAACAATTATTCCAAATGCACTCACATTTGCTCTCAAGGTATCTTAAATTCAGGGTTTGTTAAAGTGGAAGAGGCAAGGGTGATAAAGAGAGTGTATCTCTTATTAACACCAGTAACTGATAACCATTATGAAAAATGTAAGCTCTAAATTCTGAGAACAGGGAGGTTGTCTCATCCAATGCTCTCTAGAATAGTGCCTGGCAAAAATGGGCACTCAGGAGATGTTTGTTGAATTCAAGGCTTCAAAATTCTGACCCTATTCTCTCTATCCAGCCATATATCCTTATTATTTCCTAACAACCTTCTTCACACTGGACAGTCTTCATCACTATCCTGAAAACATCTTTAATCTTGCTATTCCTATCTACCTAAATCCTACCCATCTTTAAAGACCTAGTTCCAATTCTTCCTCTATGAAACCTCTGATTGTTCCAGGCAAAAAAAAATGTAGAAGGCTATTGCTTGTATTTCTTTGAAAAACAAAATCACTACTATACCATTTTTACACTCATTATGGCAAAAAAATCTTCAAAAGTAATGGTGCCAATTCCTTCTTTGTTGATTTCAGCTATCATTTTTTTAATTTCTTCTTTCTTTGGTTCAAATCCTAAGGCTTGCATTGCAATCTGAAATAGGAAGCAAATAAATTATAATACATCACATTCTCATTCCTAGGTTTTAAAAGACCTGTTAATGACTAGATTTTCTCTTTTTCACAATGGACAAGGCATAAACCTAGAAAGTCAAGTCAGGAGGCTTAGGTTCCAGTCCTACTATGCCACAGGATATGTCATTGTCACATGCTGGGTTTTGTTGTACTCATTCATAAAACAAGAATAAAATGCCTAACAAGATACTATTTTGTTAGTACGAGGCAGGTATATATATTGAAGGTGTAGGTGTCCACACTGACGAGTTTTTATATCAAGCTTTTAAGATGGCTGCTGTTAAAGACTGGAAGATTGTCACAAATAAATGATGGTTTTTAAAATGTCTTAGAATTAGAAGTAATTTCAAAACCTTCAGTTCTTTCACATCTATGGTTCCAGACCCATCAACATCAAATAAATCAAAGGCCTCTTTAATTTCTTGCTTTTGGGTTTCATTCAGTTCAAGTTTTGCTGCTCTTTTCTTCCCTTGGTCTGAACCTGTGCAGTAGTTGGATGCCTGTAATAAATACACATGTGCATGAAAAACTATGTAACTGGAAAACTTACCAGCACCAGAATCATTGATGATAAAGATAATAAATATGCATATTCAAGAACCTATTCCCTACTATATAATGACTATCAGCAATTTCCCTTTTCCCTTTGCTAATATTTATGCTTTTAGTTATTAATATCTTGGTGGAAAGCCTGGTTCTTTCTACCACTTAAATTTTTCTTGCAAACTAGTGCTTTTTTTTCTTAAGATTTTATGTATTTATTCGAGAGAACGAGAGAGTGAGAGAGAGCACGAGAGGGGGTAGGGTCAGAGGGAGAAGCAGACTCCCCGCTGTGCAGGGAGCCTGATGTGGGACTCCATCTGGGACCCCCGGATCATGACCTGAGCCGAAGGCACATGCTTAATCAACTGAGCCACCCAGGCGCCCAAACTAGTGCTTTTTGAGAGAGAGAAGAGGCAAAGGCATGCATGCTCCAACAGTAGATGTTATGTCCAAGTACGAGTACGAGCCTTACTTGGTATATCTAAAAAGTAGTGTCTAAGGCACACTTTTCATCTAGGCCTATCTGTCTCATAACAAAATTTGTTTATTTTGTGGGATATGCTTGCTTGAAACATAATACCCTAGCCCACCTATTTTAGCGTACTTTTCTATATTGCAGAAGCTGAGAGATGAAAACTACATTTTCCAGGTGAAAAACTACTCCAGGGATCGGAGTAAAAGTAAAAGTTGGGCCAATTATCAGTATCCAGGTAGGGTGGAGGTCATCTTCCTGCTATGTGCCATTTTCCCGCTAACAAGCAAGGTCACAGAGTTACTCCTGGGGTTTTTCTGCAGCCTCATTTCACTATCTTGTCTCCAGCTTCGGGTTAAGAAGAAGTGGCAGCAGAGATGGCAACTGGACATCACGGTCCTGTGCGCCTCGCCTCCGGTTTCACGTGGGTTTCACGTGGCGGCGGCGGCTTCTTGGTCCCTGGACGGCAGATACACAGGTGTGTAGTTCCAGCCTTCAGAACCTTCACCTCCCCAAACGTGGCGGAGTGAGGAACTACCCTGGCCACTTTTTCAGAGTTCAGGACCTCTTTCCTAGAGGACCCTCCAACAGTTTCTAAGCCTCTTATTCTCCGTATTCAATTCCTTTCTGGCTAACCAGTGGTTTCTGTTTCCATCACGGAACCTATCGCGGTTGGCGGCGACGACGAGGAACGAATGAACTGGAGGCCCGCTCTTGCGTCCCTAGAGCCACGGGCAACGTGCTTCTAGTTGGCCACGAGAGGAGGGGTTACTAAATGACACTCGAGGATCAGGGGGTGAATAATACATTTCATAAGCCAAAAAAAATTCCTTCCTTGCTCCGGGTTGAAATTTCAGCCCTAGCCCCGGCCCAGCAAGGGGTTACGGCTTGGCACTCACCATGTCACCAACCGGTGCCCTCAGCTGGGACCTCCGGGTCTCAGGCGCCAGCCGCGCAGCCCAACTGCAGTCTACACAGTTCAGAAACCGTTGCTAAGGCAGCTCTAGCCACTCTCAGGCAGCCCCGCCCACCCAGGCTTGCCTACTGATTGACAGTTATTCTACCCAATGGTAAAAAAAAAGAAGGCGCTTGAAGCCCGCCCTCTCTCTCTACTCTCTACCAATAGAATAACGCTCTGCCTTTCCTAGCCGACCGTTAAGCAGAACTTTCCCTCTGGTATCTTAGCGACCAGACCCACCTGGGCAGCCCGCTTGCTCCGCTTCGCACATGCGCAAAATGCGGGCGGAGAAGGGGGCGTCTTTGTCCCGGGGCTTTGGTGTCCCAGTGCTAGCCCTAACGTCGTCTGAGGTGGGAAGCTGGGATCTGAAGCCTCGCGTGAAGATGGAGAAAAGAATGAGGTTAGTAACGAGGTGCTTCCACCGACTGCTAAGTCTTTAGTGCAGACGCGGAGAGCCTTTATTTGCTTTTTTGACCTCTTCGTGCCCCGGGAAAGGATGAGAATCCAGGGCCTGGCGGGCCGGGTAAATTGGTCCAGTTTTGGTTTACCGTCCGGCGGGGATTAACAGAGGTGGGAGGGGACTGACCTTTCCAGGGCCGCTAGATATTTCTCAGCCTCCACAGTGCCTGAGGCTTGGCCTTTAGCTTTTCCCTTTTACCTGGTTCAGAGGGATTCTGGCGCGGTAGCCGAATGGCTGGAAGGAAGTAGGTATGGGGGCAGGATGGGTGTTGGGATGCACCAAGCCTCACTGCATAGGAGCTTTTACCAATGTTGTATGTATTTGCCGGGTAGGACTTTGGCTCCAACCATAATCACGATCAGACACCTATCCCTCCTCCCCCACCCCACTCTCTCACCCTCAGCCATTCTTGTGGTTGAATCCCAAGATGTGGCCGGCTTTCCAGCCATATCCAGCATAGATCCACAGTCATGAGTCAGACATAGGTAGCCTGATAATCCAATTGACTCAGTCATTGCCGAGATGTAGAAGCCCATAACTACTGTAAATCAAAGCAAATTCCTGTCCAGAGGGCCAGACTTGTTGGGTTGCCCAGTCGTGAATCTGGTCAGGGACCAGCAAAAGGGTGGGAGAGAATGAGGTGGACTGACTTCCTGGTAGAAATGAAGAGGTGATAGTCCTTTAAAACTTCTAACCCTAATTCCTCACACATCAGGACTCTTTATGCCTCCTGCAGTACCTTCTGCCGAGTAAGTCCTTTATTTCCCAAAAATCATACTGGATTCTCCAGTAGTGGATTCATGAGGAACATTAACTTTTGCCTAGTATTTTTTTCCCCCTTTATCCCACTTATCTCCTTGAAGGCAGGGCAAGAAAAATGTGCAAAGTACATTCTTGAAGCAGTCTCCCAAATCAGTGTTCATACTGTAGTATGTAAAGCATGGCACATTTTCCAAAACCATCATCCTGTCTGGTTCACATTATATCCCAGTCAGACACCCAAGCTTTGTAATCATAGATAAAGAACACATTAGGATTCTGGAAAATGGGTAAGTTATTCTAATATTAGAAGTGATTTTTCCATATAAAGTTGTCCCAGTGGAAATTAAAATTATGCAAGTTCAAGATATTTTGTGAATTAAGTAAAATGTTCATTCGCTTAATTATAATACAGTAGACCCTTAAACAACAAGGATTTGAACTGTGTGGGCCTACTTATACATGGATTTTTTTTTTTTTTGGAGGTTTGCCACAATTTGAAAAAACTCCCTGTTGAACCCTGTAGCCTAGATGTACTGAAAAAATTTTTTATTAAAGGTATTATTGTAAGAATACAGCATATAATACATGTAACATATAAAATATGTGTTAATTGACTGTTTTTGTTATCGGTAAGGCTTCCAAACAACAGTAGGCTATTAGTAGTTAAGTTTTGGGGGAGTCAAGAGTTAATATTTGGATTTTCAGTTGTGCAGTGGTGCTTGTCCTTAGCCCCAGGTGTTTAAGGGTTAATTGTATTTTGATTTTTCAGGCCATTAACCTCACCAGGAAGTTTGCCCTTGATGAGTTTCAAGGACATTTACTTCCTCTTTACTACTAATGTTAAGGGGATTTCTGAGACCCAGAAATGAATAGTGATCAAATATATAGAACCGAATTCTAACCTAGATCAGTTTTGATCTTATGGCAATTAAAAGGCTGAGTAATATGTTAACCTGCTTTTATATCACTTTATGATTTAGGTTCTTATATTTGGGAAATTAACTTCTAGTAAAAATGATTTTTTTATTATAGGCTCAGATTGCGATTTCTAGGTCTTGGGTCTAGGAAGTACTTAGTCTTGAAAAATAGCTGTGACTAATCCAGTTGTATTGTAAAACATTAGTAGTAGTAATAATTAGTCTAGGAAAATATTAAATCCATTGGTACTCTTAATTCTACTAAATTTACTTAACACTTTCCACATGTCCTATACTGTGCCAACTATTGGGTGAGTTTGAAAGGAGCTGAGTGTAGAGGATAAAGATGAATAAAAGTAAGGAACCCACAGGTTAGTGGGGGAGAAAGGACAGACATAAATACAGAGTTTTAAATTCAGGGTGCTAAGTGCTTTAGTAGATGTGTGTAGAAAGTGCTTGAGTACAGGAAGGAGGCACTACTTCTTACTGGGGCATTGAAGAAGGTTGTATCAAAAATGTAGAGCCCTGCATCAGGCTCCCTGCTCAGCAGGAAGTCTGCTTCTCCCTCTTCCTCTGCTCCTCCCCCCACTCATGCACGCTCTCTCTCTCTCACTCTCTCTCAAATAAATAAATAAAATTTTTAAAAATGTGGTATTTGCCTTGGGTCATGAAAGATAATATAGCACTTGCCAAGGTGAAGAAAGGGTAGGATATTCAAATCTGAATATAGCATGTGTGAAAATGAAAATAAATGTATGTTCTAGTGTGGCAAGATCATAGGGTTATAAGGAAAGGTGGAAAATGAGTCATAAATTACATTGAGGTCCAATTATGGGACACCTTTGTCAAACTAAGGAGTAAAGATTTTTATTTGCTAAGATAGATAGATGTTTTTAGGCAATGGACTGCTTTGATTAGGTTTGTGCTTTGCAAAGATAATTCTGACAACCATGTGAAGGAGGAACCATTTTGGAAGCAGTTAAAGGATCTCAACTAAGGTAGTGCCAAATAGGAAGCACGTCAACACTAAAGGTGATTGAAACTTAAATTTTGGTGGAGTAATACTGACAGCAATCTGTTTAATCTTGTCAGTTTTGTACTTAACTTTTAAGTTAGCAAATAAGGGGAAAACCATTCATTCATTTGTTCATGAAACATTTATTGAGTGTCAGCAGCATGTCAGACAATATTCTTGGTATGTGGGATACCTCAGTCCTCCTGGGAATTACATTCCAACAGAGGGAGATGGTCAATAAATAATAAATAGATATGTAAACTGTGTACTACTTTATAAGGTGGTAAGTTTTATGGAAAAGAGGACTTAGAGCAGTTAAAGGGAATCCAAGTGTAGAGGAAAAAGAGGAGTTTGTTGTGTTATATAGGGTGCTCAAGGAAGGCCTCACTGAAAAGGGTAAATGTGAGTAAATATTTAGAGGTGGTAAGGCAATAGATTTCTCAGGGATGAACATCCCAGAGGGAATAACTAGAACAGAAACTCTTAAGTTAGGGAGCGTGACTTGGAGATTGCTCGAGGGATAGCGTAGTAGAAAACAAAGAAGAGTAAGAGGGAGGAGTGCAGATTATTAAGGCTTTAGTAAGACCTTGATTTTCATTCCTAGTGAAATGAGAAGGCATAGCAAAACTTTGAGCAGAAGACTGAAAGGATCTGGGTGGATTTTTTAAAGGGGCTCCTGTGTCAGACAAAGGAGTAAAGACCTTTATGTTCCAAGTTGAAGGTTTTTAAGTAATGGAATATGATTTAGACTGCTATATTGGGTATAGACTGGAGATACGCAAACTGTTGATTTTGATAATGAAAAAAGCTAATCATACCTGTCAGAAAATATTAATATATTTTTAATTAATTAATTTATTTATTTTTGATGTAGTGTTCCATGATTCATTGTTTGCATATAACACCCAGTGCTCCACGCAGAATGTGCCCTCTTTAATACCCATCACCAGGCTAACCCATCCCCCCAACCCCCTCCCCTCTAGAACCCTCAGTTTGTTTCTCAGAATCCATAGTCTCTCATGGTTCATCTCCCCCTCCGATTTCCCCCGCTTCATTTTTCCCTTCCTATCTTTTTTTTTTAACATATAATGTATTATTTGTTTCAGAGGTACAGTTCTGTGATTCATCAGTCTTACACAATTCACAGTGCTCACCATAGCACATACCCTCCCCAATGTCTGTCACCCAGCCACCCCATCCCTTCCTCCCCCCACCACTCCAGCAACCCTGTTTGTTTCCTGAGATTAAGAATTCCTCATATCAGTGAGATCATATGATACATGTCTTTCTCTGACTGACTTATTTCGCTCAGCATAATACCCTCCAATTCCATCCATGTCGTTGCAAATGGCAGGATTTTTCTTTGATGGCTGCACAATATTCCATTGTATATATATATACCACATCTTCTTTGTCCATTCATGTGTTGATGGACATCTTGGCTCTTTCCATAGTTTGGCTATTGTGGACATTGCTGCTATAAAGATTGGGGTGCACGTACCCCTTTGGATCACCACATTTGTATCTTTGAGGTAAATACCCAGTAGTGCAATTGCTGGGTCATAGGGTAGCTCTATTTTCAACTTTTTGAAGAACCGCCCTACTGTTTTCCAGAGTGGTTGCACCAGCTTGCATTCCCACCAACAGTGTAGGAGGGTTCCCCTTTCTCTGCATCCTCGCCAACATCTGTCCTTTCCTGACTTGTTAATTTTAGCCATTCTGACTGGTGTGAGGTGGTATCTCATTGAAGTTTTGATTTGGATTTCCCTGATGCCGAGCGATGTTGAGCACTTTTTCATGTGTCTGTTGGCCATTTGGATGACTTCTTTGCAGAAATGTCTGTTCATGTCTTCTGCCCATTTCTTGATTGGATTATTTGTTCTTTGGGTTTTGAGTTTGATAAGTT